CTCAGGTCCACTGTCTCGCAGAAACCAGTCTCTTGTTCTCTGCCTGGGTAAGGGGTGGAGACCTTGGAGGCTGGGTCGCACACAGAATGTAGCACTTCTGTTTGGTCCTGCTGTTTGGGCCCCTCTTCCCTTTCAGAGTTGTGTGGCACCTCTAGTCTCCGGGACGTTTTAGAGCTCTCTTACTTCTTTTGACCGGATTCTTTCCTGAAGCCTAGGTGTCTGTGGCCTTTTCCACCAGTTCTGACTTTCCCTTGGGATTGTCAGCCTCCGCAGTCTCGTTGGCATTGCTTATCTGCTGATGCTCTCTCCTGTACTCTGCAGCTCTACCGATGGTGCACTTTACAGAGGTTTTGGGGGAGCAGGTGTAAAAGTGTGCATTCACCCTGCCACAGATGATCAGAGGCCCAGCTTTTAAATCCCATTTTTTAAAGGAGAAAGTATGTATATATCTGCAAATGACAAAAAATACATTTCTGGATGTTGAGATTGTGGCTTTTCTTTTTAGCCTTTTTTCTCTTGCGTATCCTTTTCAATATCGTCTTTACCAGTATACTTATGAACTAGAAAATAATCATCTGTGTAAAAAGATGACAGACAGATATAGTCAAGGATTTCATATGCTAGATATTAGTTCCACTGTTGTTTTGCAGGTGAAGGGAAGGCTGAGTGTCAGCAGTCTCACGCGGTTTAATGTAAGATATCTCACGTAACACGGAGCCCAGAGCGGGTGCTGCTGGGGAGTACAGACATTGTCTAGACGGGCCAGACTCAAAGTGCCAGTCTGTGAAGAGAGCACAGACCAAGCTGTATTTCCGGAAGGTTCTGTCGTAGGGTTTGCTACATGGTCAGGGTCTGTCCTGGGCCCGCAGGTTGAAGAGATTCACGCGCTAACTTGGCACTCACGGGCTGACAGGATGTCTTAGCCACTTCCCTGTCACTGGGATCCAACACCCACAATTACAGGAGGAGAGGTTTTATTTGATTCACAGTTTTGGTCCATAGTCAGCTGGTTCCAAGGCTGGAAGGGCGTGGGGGAAGGGCCTGGGCCAAGAAAAGTGCTCACATCACGGCAGCCATGAAGCAGAGAGAGAGAAGGGAGGAGCCAGGGCAGGAGCTAAACCCTTCCAGGGCGGGAGACAGACCCTTCCAGGTCACACAGCCAGTGACCTGCCTCTTCCAGCCAGATACCACGTCCTAACAGCACATTCCGCCTGGGACTCTTCAGAGCGTTAACTCACTCATGAGGACAGCGCCTCCTTTCGGAAGGTGAGGCCCATTTCCAAACACATCAGGCTTTTGAGGGACAGTCCAGGTCCAAACTGTAACACAGGAGCACACTGCTTTGTACATGGTTAAAAAAACACATTGCTTCCCTCATTCTGTCTTTCATTTCTGCTAGTGTATTGGAATTCCCTAGGCATGCCTTTTCCTCCTAAAGCAGTGAGTGGTGGCGGAACTATGGCATGCGTGGGGCAGCGGGCTGTTTGTTATCCCTGAAAGCTCTGTCATCGAGTGTAAAATTACTTGAGACGACACATGCCTGCTCACTGCTCTGGGTGCCCTACTTAGGGGCGTGTTACAGCTTAGATATGAAATGTCTCCCAGAGGCCCACGAGTTCGAAGCCTGGTCCGTAGTCTGTGGCGCTACCCAGAGGAGGTGTGAGAGGAAGTTAGGTCATGAGGAGCCCTTGGCGGGGGTGTGGAGGTCTTGGCCCTTTTCTGTCTCTATCATTTTGCAATGGCTGGGAGGCAAGTGGGCCTCTTCCTCTACCCATGGTCACCTTGACATGCTGTGGTGCTGAGTGGCAGCAGGGCCAGTGACCGTGCTTTGGAACCTCTGAAACTGTGAGCCAGAAATAAACCTTTTCCCTTAAGTTCATTTACCTCAGTTATTTGTTATAGAAAAAGAAAGCTAACAGTGTTTTTCATATAAAGATTCATGGGAGAAAATTCCCACAAGCCTGTGGCATTTTTTTTTTTTTTTTTTTTTACCTAGGAGTACAGTGGAAAGTATGCTAAATTCAGTTATCCCTTTGCGTTTGCTATTAGGAAGTGCAGAGCCACAGTTGCACCACAGTTCCAAGCAGTGCACTCTTGAAATTTCTGCTTATGTGTCTTATGGTCTCTGCATTAGCTTCCTGTTGTTCCTGTAACAAATTACTAACTCAGTGGTTTAGAATAATAAGAATTTATTATCTTACTCTCTGGTAATCAGAAGTTCAAAATCAGTTTCACTGGGCTGAACTCCACTGATTGGCAGACTTTGGTTGTTATTGGAGGTTTAGAGTTAGTTTGAAATTATGGGTAGTTTTCTTCTGCCTCTTCTTCTTCCTCCTCCTCCTCCTCTTCTCTCCTCCTCCTCCTTCTCTCCTCCTCCTCCTTCTTTTCTTTTTCGAAGCTCTGAGAGTCTGATTGCACTCATCGACTGTGGCCCCTTCCTCTGTTTTTGAAGCCTGAAGTGTAGCATCTTTTTTCCCCTTTGACTTCTGCTTTTGTCCTTAGTTTTTACTCTCTGGCTTTGATTCTCTTATCCTTACCCTTCTCTTTTTTTCCTCTCTCTCTCTCTCTCTCTGAGTTTATTGGCACATTTTAGGTAGACAGTACAGTTACATTCATTCCTGGGATCCTGTACCTTTACATGACAAGTCTTGGTTCTCATTTTTTCTTACACTTCTCTTGAGTTTATTGGCACATTTTAGGTTGACAGTACAGTTACATTCGTTCCTGGGATCCTGTACCTTTACATGACAAGTCTTGGTTCTCATTTTTTCTTACACTTCTCTTATTATAAAGGCCCTTAGGGTTACATTGTGCCCACCCAAACAATTCAGGAAAATGCCCCACCTCTAGATACTTAATTTAATCACATGTGCCAAAATCCCTTTGGACCGTGTGAGATAATATATCCTTGGGTTCTGGGGATTAGACATGCAGGTTTTTTGGGTGAACTTAGTCAATCACATTCTTTTCAATACGAACTGTATAGAGTTGAAATTTTGGTTCTCTTCCTCAGACCGTCCCTCTGCTTACCTTTCTGTCCTCTTTTTACTTCCCCTGTCTCAGTGAATGGATCTACCATCTACTGATCGTTCACATCGGGCCCTTGGTTCCTCACTCATACTCACATCCAGCACCTCATGCCATCCTGCTGTATTTCTTTTTAAACTTGTTATAGTTTGGATTTAAATGACCTTCAAAAGCTCATGTTTTGAATGGTCGGTCCCCAGCTGGTGGTGCTATTGAAAGATAGTGGAAACTTTAGGAGGGTAGGAGAAAATAGGTCCTTGTGGGAGTGTTGGGAGGACTTTGGCTCCTTATTCTCTTGCTGCTTTTTGCTTCTTGGCTGCCATGAGGTGAGCAGCTTTCCCCTGCCACCAACTTTTCCATGGCGTTTTCCCTCCCCACAGGCCCAAAGCGATGGAACCAAGGGACCATGGACTGAAACCCCTGAAACTGTGAGGCAGAATAGATATACTGTCTGTTAAGTTGCTTATCTCAGGTATTTGTCATTGCGGCAGAACTCTGACTGATACAAAGATTTGTCCGGAATCTGTCCACATCAGTTCTTGGCTACTGACACCCCTTGGCTAAGCCACCTCCAGCTCTCATCTAAACTGTGTTCATAAAGCCTCCTAATTTGTCTCTTTACTTCAACTCTTGCCTTTTTGGAGTCTGTTCTCTACAAGTCAACCAGACTTTTAAAAGACACAAAGCAAATCGTGCATTTTCCTCCTTAATACTCTCCAATAATTTCTTGTGTTATGTTGAAGAAAACCCAAATCGCCTCGTCTTCCTGGACTTGTCACAGTTGATTACTTAGTTGTTCTTTGTATCATTCATTTTCTCCATTGATCCCCAATTCTCTGAAGGCACATTTCTGACTTGGTCATCACTCTAAGTACCTCCTAGGTATGTGGCACTTAACAGGCTGAATACATGTCCCACATCTTCCTCATCCTGACTTTACCTTAACTCCTTGCTTTCATTCTTCATTTATTCTGATTTTCTTAATTTCTATTGCAGAGAGAGAGAGAGAGAGAGAGAGAGAGAGAGAGAGAGATCCCTACATTACTCAGGATTGGGGGTTGAGCTGCCTCTGCTGCTGTGCCCTCTTCTCCCTGTCCGTCAGTACTGCATGGCATGGATAAAGTGAAATTCTCCTACTAGCTGTATCTTCCCAGGAAAGGCGATAATGGCCTTTGAGATGAGCAGGGTGTGTGGGTGCAGGAGAGGGATGACAAGGAAACATGCCGGAAAAGGAGGTCCTTAACTCTTCCCTGCTCCTGAGCTTGGACCCTAGAGCACGGCTCGCAGAGCATCCTGATGTATTCTGGGGCTCAGTAGTCTTGATTCTCGGTGTAGTGCCTTTGACCTATCCTCTCTGCGACTCCATCCAAGGCCTCAATGTCGGCCCAAGGTGCTGAGCACCGCTGAGGGATCTAGGCTCTCTGCCGTCTCACGACAGCCCGGATTGGCCCGAGTTGGTCACTTTTGCTCAGACCTCCGTCCCTATAGGTGCCATGTGCCTGATTTATACACAAACATGATTTGCCTGATTGTTGCAGTCTGGGCCTGGAATAATTTTAATTAACGGGAAAATGGTCCTCAATACACCGATTAGACCTCTTCAGGTACAACAAGATAAAAGCCTGATAATTTGGATGGAGTACTCTTCTTAAACGTCTACTCTACGCACAGCAGCCAATGGGAAAGCCGGGCTCTCTCCCACCTGATCCAATGAGTAATTAAGAGAGGGCTTTTTCTTCCCTACCTCTCCTCTCCCTCCACCCCTCTCCCCAACTGGAGCTTAACAGGTTGGTGATATAATTTGGAGACTTTAAGGAGCGTCACAGTAGGAGCTTAGGCAAGAGCCAGGGCTCCTTCTTGCGGCTCCCCAGGACCAGCTGGGTGTGGGAGGCAGGCAGGTGAGAGAAGGAAGGAGCTCGAAGCAGGCAAGGTGGGTGACGACCCCAAGCAAAGTTTGCGAGGGGCCCGCGGCCATGAGCGAGCTGGGCACACACAAGGCCAGCGAAGGCACCGAGTCTCGCCTGCTCCATGTGGTGGAAAGTGAGCTGCAGGCCGGGAGGGAAAAAGGCGACCCCACGGAGAAGCAACTCCAGATCGCCCTGGAGGATGCACCCCTGTGGCAGAGATTCAAGGAAGTCACGAATGAGATGATCGTGACCAAGAATGGCAGGTGAGTTTATCTGCTGCCCTGGCCGGGCTGGCCCAGCGCGGCAAGGGAGGCGAGGCCCCTTGAATGCTGAAGAGGCTGCCGCTCTTCACAGGGGCGGCCGGGTCTGATTAAACGAGCAGGAGGACCGGCTCCCGTGGCTGTCCCCAGGCCAACTTAATTAATTCTCTGAGATCCCCAGGGAAGTGGAAGATGGAGCCACCTGTCTTACGTGCATTCGGAGTGGAGAAAGTCTGGGAAATTACTGTAAAGGGGGCGCATGCCCCACGGGTTGGGGAAATGCACTCCAGTGTCAGCAAATAATCCTGATTTTTGACCGACGGGCTACCCTGGAGCGGACTCACGCTCCATCCCCGACACTCAGGTCATTGGGAATGTCCATTCTGTTTGGGAACTGGATGGTTTCCTCTGCAGTGCTGCCAGGAATTTTTGACTCGTTGAATACTGGGGGCAAAAGGGCAGATTTCATCTCATTGCCTCTCACCCCCATCTGTGTTTCCAGTGTGTGTTTGGGGCGCGTGTTCACTTGCGATCGTGTCTGTGACGAAGTGAGAGCCGTTGTTGCAGGAACAGGGAATGAATTCACAATCTACCACCCCAGAGGGGAGAAGTTGCCTTCTTTTTTTCCTTTCTGCGACAAATTAGGGATGAATGGAAACTGAGCTCTTGACATTTCTCAGATTCTATTAGGTCTAGCCTGCTAATTGGTTGTCCAGGTAATATTAGAAGGCAGCTTTTGCTTCCTGGAGGAGTTGCAGATATTTTGAAAGAAAATCTCACTGCCCCCAGCTGGGCCTCGCTGGCTCCCAGTGTTTGGCTGATGCTCGCCTCGCTTTTGGTTCACGTGGGAACCTAAGTCCAAAACACTAAGGACATTCCCTGCAGGGTGAGTTTGGGCAGGACCCTCCTGGAGACTCTCAAAGTGAGGGAAATTTTGCTAAGAGAGAAAGTTGCGACCAGCTGAATTTGTGTGAGCTTTTGACGCTGGGGAAAATGCTCCTCTTCCTGATGTTGTGGCTCTCTATTTTTGAATAGAGCACAGTACAGGAAATGAACTATTCCTTGCCCATCTGGGAGAATTACCAACTTGAGAGCTGTCCAATGACGCTGAAGTACCTCATCCATGAAAGCTGTACATGAAATAAGGGCATTTTGATACCTTGCGACTACACTGGTAGCAGGATGCTCAGCCTCGCCCGATATTTACGTTTTTCTTTCTAAACAGGTCCCCTACTTATGGCATGGAGGAAATTTATTGCGTATAACTTATACAATTGCAGTTATGCTTGTTCATTCCTCTTGATCCATATTTACACATCATGTGTTGCCCCTTTGGTAGGAAGAAATATAAAGCTTTTTTTTTTTTTTATACTGGAAATCAAACTCAGGGATTTGCATTTGCCAGGCAGACACTGTGTGGCTGAGGTAAATTCTGGTCCTAAAGCATGTTTGTAACTTCAAGGAATTACCCCAATTCTTTCTTTTTGCCTTGCTGGGGATTGAATCCACAGCCTTTGTAACTTAGCCACATCTCCAGCCCCTGCCCCTTTTGAGATGGGGGTCTTGCTAAGTTGCTAAGTTTAATTGGATTTAATTTCTTTTCTTTCAAAGATGAGGGATGATACAGTTGTAAAAACTTTATTATGTCGGTGTATAGGTAAGCTTTTGTTTCTTTTCTTTTTTTTTTTTTTTGAGATAAGGTCTCACTATGTAGTTGAGACTGCCCTGGAACTCACTATGCAGCCCAGGCTGGTCTCAAACTCACAGCAATCCTCCTGCCTCAGCCTCCCCCCCTACCAGTGCTAGGATTATAGGCATGCGCCACCACTCCTGGCGACTTTTGTTTCTTTTTTTTTTGTACTTAGAAGTTATGCTAATGCCTAGTCTGATGCTGTCTTTTTGGCTGTCAAAGTGGCTGTGTATTATGATGAAATAAATAAAATCACCAATTTAAAATACAGCTCATCCATTTCAACAAGGAAAAAAAACAAAACAGTTTCCAATGTGTTCTGAACCCAATTTAATAGTAAATTATATCAGAAAGCACATTTACTACTTAAAAGGTGTTTTTTGTCTTTTCTCACTTAAATAAAAAATCTCCACATGCTTAAAATTCTTCATGTTTAAAATAATTTCATGTGAACTCTGACATTGGTTAGCAGCAACGAAGAGAAGATTTTCGCTGGAAAATTCCCTGTTTTGCTCCAAGACGGGGATCCTGATGGGGCCTTGGCCCCTTCCGTTTCCTTCTCCTGTCCTTCCTCCTCCCTCTTTTTCTCCCTCCCTCCCTCCGTTGCTTTCTTCCTGCCTCCTCTCCGGGCACCTCCCTTTTCTCTACTCTTGAGATTAGGTCTCTCTCTACTGCCTGCGCTGTCTGCAGTGTTCCTGCCTTAGCCTCCCAAGTAGCTGGGATTATGCACCTGCTTAGCGTTTCCTTCCCCTCTTTTTTAACTTAAGTTTAAACAACTTTTTTTATTGGTACATGTTTACCTTACTTTTTTGGTCAGCCATCTTGGTCATATTCGTCATGGGGAATTTGTACCTGTTCGTCAAATATCTTAATTCTCTTTCCCCATCCCTCCCCCCTCCTTTCGACCCTTTTCCCTTCTTGATTTATACAACTTTTGTGTCTCTTTGTTCTTCTTTCCTTTCCTCCCTCCCTTCTCCCCACTCCCTTGTTCCTCTTTCCCGTGCCTTTCATGGCACTATCGCTGGCTGCCTTGATACCCTGAAACAACAAAACAATTGGCCTTTCGTGATAAGCTTGACTTTGGGGAAGAAGAAGAAGTCTTGGTGCCAGATCTAGTGAGAAGTGGACGAGGACACAATGTCTTGCGTTAAAAGCCCGCCATTCCGCCGGGTGGCCCCTGACGGCATTCACTGTGTTTTTTTCTCACCCCTAATAAAGACACTCACGAAAGAGAATCCCAGAACCGCTTCAGAAAGTGGCAAGGATGGTGGGATAAGCGCGTTCAAAGCAAGGGTGAGGATGTTGAGGAGGATTTGTGGCAGTGTGTCTTTTACCGTAATACATTTAAAATATTTACCGTACACTTCCTTTATACCTACCTTCCCCTTAACTCTGAAAGTTCCAGTTAATCTTTGATGACGCTGTACTTTTCTTGGGAAGTGGAGTTGTTTACAAGTGAAACTTCCTGAATTTTGCTTTTATCCTTGTGCTCTTCCTCTGCCTACAAAATCTGCTCCATCTCTGTCCTCTTCCTCCCTGCCTACCTCACTTCTCATGGGTTTGTCCAGCAGAGCTGGCTCTCGAGGTCCTGTCGCTGAAATAAAAACTGGACCGTTAGCCTCAGAGCAAACCAAGCTTAAAACCCAGCCACGGTGATTTTTCCGAGGTACCTCTTTGGGAAGGAACCATTTCTCTTCCCGATTTTCCTTCTCTCTCCCTCCTTATCCCTGGCCTCCTCCTACCTTGTTTCTCTCTGAGTGAGTCTTTCCTTCAAGGATGGCTTAAAGGAAACTGAATGAGGGACTGATCTGTAGTTGCTGAACTTTTCAAAGAAACTTTTGGCTTCTCTGTGATTAGCTACACCTTGGAGGGGGAAATAGAGAAAAATCAGCTTGAAAAATGCAATTCTGCTCAAGCCTGGTCCTGAGTGGTGACCATAGGTAAATAGATAAATTGTCCTTAGATAATACATCAAGGTGACTGTGCGACGGGACAGAGGGGAGGTGGGGTGGGAGGAGGTGAACTTGGCTGTGAGGCTTGTCTGGTTACAAGACCTCCGTCAAGCTCACGGGCCTTTACTTATTCTTTACTGGCATAGTGAACGTTAAAAAGTTCATGGCATCTCTTAGTTCATTCATGTAGTGATTAAGAAAACTAGAATAATTTAAAAAGTCCTTGGCAAACGGACTACCGAAGAACATGCAGCCAGTAATCTTTCTACCATTTTTCAGGTACGACTTCTTCCAAGAGAGCACTCTGGCTTTGTTGCTTTTATTAATAGCATCACTGTAGGACCAGGGATTTAGTTAGCTCAGTGGTTCTCCTGCCTGCTTTATAAGCGCAAGGACCTGAGTTCGATCCCTGGTACCAAAAAGAAAAGAAAGAGGATCGCTGTGATATAACTTGCATCACATCACGAGTCGGTGGCGTTTGGGGTCTTCCCAGATTTGTGCTCCCATCTCCGTGATTAATTTTAGAGTGTTTCCATTACCCCACGAAGGAACTCCGCCCCCTTTCACCGTGTTCTCCCCTCCCCAGCACGTCTCACCTACTTCCTGCCTCCATAGCTTTACCTTTTCCGCTCATTCCGTGTCAGTGGAATCATAAATATGTGAACTTGACATAATATTTTCCAGATTCACCCATGTTGGGGCATGTGTAAGTACTGCATTCCCTTTTTGTGGTTGAATATTATTCCACCAGATGGATTTTATATCCATCTATCAGTTTATGGACCTTCGAGTTTTTCTACCTCTTTTTATTTTTTTGGTACTGGGATCGAACTCTGGACCTTGGGCTTGTGAAGCAGGCAGCAGCACCACTGAGCTAAATCCCCGGCCCCCTACCCCTTGACTGCGATGAATGATGCTGTTACAAACATTTGTGTGTGTATGCACACATGTGTGTGTATTTGTGGCACTGGGGACTGAACCCAGGGCTTGCACACTGAGCTACATCCTAGCTCTTTTTATTTTTTATTTGGAGACAGGGTCTTGTTGTGTCATTAAATTGCCCATGGGAGGCTTGAATTTGTGATCCTCCTGCCTCAGCCTCTCAGAGAGCTAGGATTATAAGCAGCGGCTACTATGTTTGGCAGTGTACAAGTTTTTGTATGGGCCTATGTTTTCATTTTTCCTATGCACCTGTTTAGGAGTGGAATTGCATGGTTAGTACTCTGTTTGAAAAGGTACGGAACTGTCAGGTTGTTTTCCAGGGAGACCACACTGTTTTACATTTCTACACCAGTAAGGTTTGAGGACGCTAATGTCTTTACGTCCTGCCAACACTTTTTATCATCTGGCTTTTCTCTCCTAGCCGTCCTGCACGCTGTGAAGTGGTACTCACTGCACTTTTGTGTGTCTTTTTGGTGCTAGTGATGTTGAACATCTTTTCATGTGATCATGGACTAGGGATTGAACTCAGGACTTGTGCTTTTGCGGCAGGTGGCAGCAGCACTGAGATAAATCCCTGGCCGTATTATGGCTTCTTTAACGCACTTAGGATTGTGCAGGGTATAGTGGAGCACACCTGTAACCCCAATTCTTGGCAGACTGAGGCAGAAGGATCACAGATTTGAGCCCAGCCTGGGCAATTTAATGACTTAATGAGACCCCGACTCAAAATGAAAAATAAAAAAGGGCTGGGAGTGAAGCCCATGGTAAATAAAAGCTCTGGGTTTGATCCCCAATACTGCAACAAATAAACAAAAAGCAAAGTAGAGCTCCGTGTGCAGAATGAAGGAAGAGATGCCATCACATGCTTTCTTATCCTGGGTTGAAGTCTGGCTGCGTCCTTGGGGGATTTGGGGTGCAGGGGACAGAGCCGAGGGAGGGGAGGGTCCCCACCTACCGGAAGGGGACAGATGCGTGCGTGAGTGATTCCTTCATCCGCTCAGTTTATCTGCAGACCTGGCTTCTCCACCCCCAGGCCGCTGTGTGTGCTGTTCCTTTGCATGCAAGCGCAGCTCGTGGGGCAGCTTGCAGGAAATTTCTTCTTATTTAGGTCTGAGCTCCAGTGTTACCCGACTTTCATCTCTTCAGAGCTGCTCACAGAGCTCCTCACCCCTACTCTCTCTGTGACATCACCAGTTTCGATTCCTGACAGAAGAGTTCTTGTACTTTTGCAAACTGAAAACGATTTTATAAGCTGGGCATGGTGGTGCACACCTATAATCCTAGCTGGGGGGGAGGCTGAGACAGGAGGATCGAAACTTTGAGACCAGCCTGAGCAACTTAGTGACTTAGTGAGATCCTGTCTCAAAATAAAAAATAAAAAGGGCTGGGGTTGTAGCTTAGTGTGAAGACACACACACACACACACACACACACACACACACACTATCTTATACATTAGCAATAACAATTCATTTACATTTTCATTGTCAGATTTCTCTGTAAGAATACAGGCATCATGGGCAAGAAGACCCTGGACTTGTGATTGTTTTGGTCATCATAGAACAGTTTCTGGCATAGAGCAGGCATTAAAAATCGTTCCTCAAGTGAGTAAATGAATCTCCAGTTAGGTATTGAGGATTTGGAAAAACATGGAGGAGACTTTTTTTTTTCCCCACTGTGGCCCAACTATAATAACTTTGTAGAAGTGTCAAAAAAGAGAATGTTAAAATAAATATTGTGGGGCCGGGGATTTAGCTCAGCGGTTCGGCGGCCTGCCTTGCAAGTGCAAGAACCCGAGTTCAATCCCTGGTACCAAAAAAAAAAAAAAAAAAATTGTGACTGTAACAGAAGAGGAGGCGCGAGGGCTGAGTAAGCCGGCACATGCTCTTCTTCCTGAGTCTCTGTGCCCGCATCTGTGAAATGGGCGTAAAGAAACTGGCTCCCTCTGGAGGAAGTAAGATCAAATGAGGCGTGACTTACGCCCAGTCCTCGCTGAGAATAAGCACCTATCATTAGGAAAACTATCTTGCATTAAGCCTCCTCTTAGATCCAAAGTCAGAACTGCATGAAATCTGCCAGCGTTTTGCGTCATGAAGACCCCGGCCTCAATGTCATTTCGAGTAGTCGTATTTTCAGGCTGGCAGCTTAGTGCACAGAGAACAAGCGTATTTCTATAGCTTCCTTCCTTCCTTTTCAAAAATTCGTACGTACTACCCATTTTTACTGGGAAAAATTTTGATGCTTTTAAACTTATTGTGATAAATGAAAATTACACACACGTCGCATTGGTGTTTTTATACAGTAAAGTAAAATAAAAGCAAAGTAAGCTTTTTAACCCTTTAGACAGACTGTTTATCTGTGCACCTCCTAGAAACAAGCCAGGCACGTGACTGCCAGGATGTCCCTATGTGATCGATCCCCATGACAGTTTCTGATGGCCACATTTGTGGTAGCAGATGGGCTTTCTGTTGTCTACACTTGGCTAGCATTATTAAAATAATTGAAAATGGTAAAATATGCAGCAGAGAAAAATCCTTCTGTTGAAGAAAGCATGAAAGAAATACAAGGGGAAGATTTCGCGTCGTAGTCACAGCCTCCCTAAGGGAGGGTCCCCTCTTCAGATCGTGTGAAGACCCAGTCCTGTCTGTAAAGGACAGGGGTGAAGTTCCTAGCCAAGACTCGGATTTGAAATGAATCATCAGGTGCAATCTCCCCCCTAGAAATTTCATTTCATTCACATACATGAATTTAAACCACATGGAGACAGTTTCATAAAGTTGTTGAAAGAACTCAGTTGAGTTGATTCTTTTTTTTTTTTTTTGAGACAGGGTCTCACTATGTAATTGAGACTGACCTGGAACTCACTATGTAGCCCAGGCTGGTCTCGAACTCACAGCGATCCTCCTGCCTCAGCCTCCCGAGTGCTGGGATTACAGGTGTGCACCACCACGCCCGGCAGTGAGTTGATTCTTGTAAAATGCTGTTGCCTGGCACCCAGAAAGTGCTCTGTAAGTGTCGGTGCATTGCCATTGTACTCCCACCCCTCAGCTGGCCAGCCCTGCTTCTGTGCTGCTGCCTCACCTTCCGAGTGGCTTTGGAAGCTGAAAGTGCACAGGACATCGGCTTCATGTCCTCTCTCCTGCCTGGCTGGCAGGAACCACTTTCCTCTGCTTTGCTTTCTGGAAGTACTCTAGGTAGGATGTCAAGAGTGACTGCTTCCGGCTGTCAGTTTTCTTTCTGGGCTGATAGAATTGCTCCAGAACCAGAAGCCAGCTATCTGGAAAACTGCTCCAAACGTTTGTGCCAGGAATTTATTGGTGCTGTTCTGGAGGGTGGAAGAGGACCAATGAGTCCAGATCTGTCTGTCTCAAAGTGTGTTTCTTGGACCCGAATTCCCACAGAATGCTCAAAGAAGAGCTAGTTCCGCTGGCTCTGTCTGAGTGGCCCGGGGGAGACCTGGGACCGGCCCTGTAGATGGGCTCCGTGGAAACTCTCCTGAGAGCTGACCCACCGGCCAGGAGAGGAGATGCTCGATCATCCTTCTGGATGCTGAGTCTCTGACTTTTCTTTCAGACGGATGTTCCCCGTCCTGAAAATTAGTGTCACCGGACTGGACCCCAACGCCATGTACTCCCTCCTGCTGGACTTCGTCCCTACGGACAGTCACCGCTGGAAGTACGTCAATGGGGAGTGGGTGCCCGCGGGCAAGCCGGAGGTCTCCAGCCACAGCTGCGTCTACATCCACCCCGACTCCCCCAACTTTGGGGCCCATTGGATGAAGGCTCCCATCTCCTTCAGCAAAGTGAAGCTGACCAACAAGCTGAACGGAGGTGGGCAGGTATGTGCCACCTCCCCACCGCGCCAATCAAGAAATATCAAGGGTGCATTTAGGCAATTAGAGGGGTCCTCACCAACCTCTTCTCCCACAGAAGCCAATTATTCCCCCGAGTCCAAATGTAAACAGGAATAAACAGCTCTTAATTGATGCTTTCAGTTTTTAATGGACTTCCTGATGTGAAGAGAAAGAGAGAGAGCAGTTGTTGACTTAATCATCAGGCCTCTTTTCATAGTTTTGTCTTGTGTGCTTTTTACCCGGCCCCAGGAGGGAAATGTTTGTGGGTACCAGGGTTTTGTTATTGTCTCTCCCCTTTTCTGGTGTAAGTGGCATGTTGGCAGTAGACAACTACCTTAATAAAAAGCGGCTCCTAAATGAAATAATTACTTCCTCCGCTTGGGCATTATGATAATTATCAATAGAATTTTGAATCAGCTTTGGTTTTTCAGAAAAAAAAAAAAAGAATCCAAACAAACCTTAAATAAGGAAGGTTTTATTAAAGGTCCCCAATTACAGTAAACATGAGTTAGGGCTTTTTCCTCCTGGTTTCTGTGGTAGGGCTGTGGATACTAGTCTCCCGTCCAGGTTGTTATTTTCCTTAGAAAATGGAGACTGTGCTGGGGGAATCAGAGACATGGCTGAGAGGCCTTGATTCTGTTCTCTGTCCCACACATTTGGCTTCGTGGCGCCCTTTGCCCCAGTCTTAGGCCTTCTCTGGTCTCTCCATGCTTAACTGTCAGGCAGCAGGAGTCTCTTTTCTTTTTTGTTTGTTTGTTTTTGACACAGGGTCTCACTATGTAGTTGACACTGACCTGGAACTCACTATGTAGCCCAGGCTGGTCTCGAACTCACAGCGATCCTCCTGCCTCAGCCTCCCGAGTGCTGGGATTACAGGCATGCGCCACCATCCCCAGCAGAAGTCTCTTTTCTTAGGAGAGGCAAGGAATTCCCCGGGGGGCCTGTGACTCCCACAGGTTCTAGTAGTTCTTCATTAAAACCAGAAATTGAAAAGTAAATTGTTACTCCCTGCCAGACTTCACAGCAGGAGACGTCCAATAGCCTTTCCTGTGAATCACAAAGAGCGGACAGTGCCTGACCAGGCAGGGTCAGATATTTCAGTCATCAGAGAAGCACGGCCACCATTTTGAGTTGCTATCTTTCATATGCGACAGCACGTGCGGTCTAACGAAAACAGGAGGAAGAAAATAGAGGGCAGGACACAGAGCACTTCAGAACACCTCCTCTCTGACGGCCCGCACAACCCCTGCGTTAGCCTCAGTGCTCCGTTCACCTCTGGAAAACAGGCCTCCTTTCTTCCTCAGTGGGGCGGAGGCAGCGCAAGTGACCCAGGACGAGGACCTCAGCCATGTGTGTCCCTGACGGGTGGGTGGGAGCTCAGCGCAGGTGCTGGCGAGTGCGTCACCTGCCGCACTGCGGGCTCGGCGTGGCTTCTCTGCACCTTCTTTCCCCTCTTCAACAGATAATGCTGAATTCTCTGCATAAATACGAACCCCAGGTCCACATAGTGCGCGTGGGAGGGGCCCACCGCATGGTAATGAACTGCTCCTTCCCGGAAACCCAGTTCATAGCCGTGACTGCCTATCAGAACGAGGAGGTAGGTGTGTGTGTGTGTGTGTGTGTGTGTGTGTGTGTGCGCGCGCGCGCGTGCGTGTGTGCCGCCGGGAGAGTGTTCAGAAGGGGCATGGGATCCTTTCCTGCCATGAGCAAGCGCGGGTGAAAGCTCCATTTTCCAGCACTCAGACACTCTCAGCAGCGAAGTTCCATAATGGGAGAGCTGTACTCTCCTCCCTCTTCTGGTTTGCCGCAGACCCGTATGTTCATCAGCTTTATATCGCTCTCACCAAGGCCTGGTGTAGTCAACTCAGGAAGAGAAAAGGTTTATTTTGGCCCATAGTTTTGGTTCTGGGCCTATGGCGAGGCAGCACCTCAGGACAGGTGTGAAACCACTCACCCCCTGGCCAGAGAGCAAGGTAGAATGAGGATCAGCATTGTGTGTGGCAGTGCAGGCCTGTAATCCCAGTTAATCGGGAGGCTGAGGCAGGAGGATCCCAAGTTCAAGGCCAAGCTGGACAACTTAGTGAGACTGACAAAAGAAGAGAAAAATTTCATTTTATTTTTTGGTATCGGGGATTGGACTCGGAATCTTGTGCTTGCAAGGCAGGCTGCACAACCACTGAGCTAAATCCCCAGCCCAAAAGAAGCAAAAATTAGAAAAAGGCTGGGGATGTAACTGATGCTCACCTAGCATGATGAGTCCTGGGTTCAGTGTGCAGAACCCTCCCCCGCAGTGAGGATGGAGCCAGGGCATCACAGCCTCCCTCAAGAGCCCGGGGCCAAGTGTGGACCTATTCTTTGGACCCCCAGGGACGCGAATATAGCAGATGGCCAGTACATGCTTCTCTGGTGTCGATAAGACACAAATGTACATTTACTAAAACTCTCAATTTCTATTAAAGCTCGGGAATCTATGGGGGCCCAAAGGGCCCGTGGCCCGCACAGAGCTGGGTGAATCTGGGGTGGGTAGCACCTATTCCCTCTTGCTTTGGAAGCTAGTCTTGGACATTGATGCCAATGTGTACCCTTGTTTGGGGTTTATGATGTGACGAGTCTTGTTTGTTAATTTCTGAGCACGGTTGTGTCTTTTCCTGCTCTGTAACTTAACACTGTGGCTAAGTAGTCAGAAATTCAGGCTGAGGCTGAGGCAGGGGGATCTCAAGTTTATGCCCAGCCTGGGCAACTAAGCAAGACCCTTTCTCAAAATAAAGCATAAAAAGAGTTGGGGGGCAAGCTCAGTGTGAATTCCCTGGGTTCAATCCCCATTACCCCCCAGTGAACTGGTTTGGATCCATTCACATCTTCAGGGTATTTCCAGGCCTGCTGATCATCAGGAGCACCTGGGGAGCCTTGGATTCTTTTTGATTCAACATAAAAAAATGTAAAGGTAATATACGTTTACTCAAAAAGACTAGTAGCATGGAAGTACGAACAGACCTCAGGATCTTGCTGACATAAATATTTGTTTAATATTTATTTATTCAACATATTTGTTCGATGTTGTTCCGGATGCTGGGAAGACAGCATTGGGTGGAAACGATGAACCCTGACCTCCAGGTGTCCTCATCCCACTGAGGGCAGAGGGAAACTATTCTGTGTCCACCTCAGTCTCCAACCCTGTCTCAGTCTCTGTCCATGTCAGGTAGTGCTGATGAGAAATGAAGGCTAACAGAGCCAGACAGTGAGAGTTCCTAGGGGTGATGATTTGTTTTTTGGATGAATGGTCCAGTGGGTGATTATTTAAGAGCGAGAGAATCAATACCAGACTGCACTCTCCGTCTGGGATGGGCTCACGACTCTACTGCTTTCTGTTGTGTCCCAAGTGACAAGAAAAGAAAACGTAGTTGGTGCTTGGTGACTGTTGAAAAATTGAAAAGCGAATAAAAGCTCAATGCCAGGTTTGCACAGGCTTGTTTTTAATGCTTTGCCAATTCTTTGCTCACTTACATGCCACTTAGCACTTTCTGGTTTTTTGAGACAGGGTCTCTCTTTGTAGTTCAGACTGACCTTGAACTAACCGTGTAGCCCAGGCTGGGCTCCAACTTGCTGTAATCCTCCTGCCTCAGCCTCCTGAGTACGAGATTACAGACGTGCCACCTGCCTGGCTGCCACTTAGCATTTTCACCATGATCCATAATAAAATAATATCCTTTGCTGGAGACAGTGCACTATTGATTTAGTACAAGAGTAGGTGAAGCGACATGGGGAGAAATTTTAAAAAAAGGAAAGAGGGAGTACCCTATTTTACAGAAATTCGCAGATGAAGATGGAAGGTTCTGTTTGCTCATACGTGTTCCAGTTTGCTAACACTTCTTGTCTTTGCAAATGCAAGATCACAGCTCTCAAAATCAAGTACAACCCTTTTGCCAAGGCCTTCTTGGATGCCAAGGAAAGGTGAGTAGAGAAATTTCAGGAAAATCTTATGCACTGACCTCTGAAGTGTGAAATTTATGATCAGCCTGAAAAGAACTAGACTAGTGTTGCTTGCATTACTTTTAATAGAAATCTGTCTCAGGATTCAATTCAGTGTTCAACAGAATCAACAAAATTCAACCAAGTAATTATTCCCAATAACAGTGGTTCAGAACATGTAGCTGGCAAATTGTGTCAGTCTTGTTTTTCTACAGATGTTTGAAAGTAGCGCAACCACATTAAAAATGATTTAGACTTTTAAGAATCAACTCTGACCTTTCCCTGTTACTTCTGAGTAATATGGTTTTAATAAGTTCTGGGTCTTTTAAAAACAACACTTAGCCTTGAAAAGGTGAGTAATGGCAGGAGGTTCCTATTTTCCAAGGGTGAGAGCAGCAGAGACTTCTGGGAGAAAAGCAGAGACTTCTGGGGGAATAGATGGCAATTCTACCATTTTGGGTCAATGACCTGACATCTCTAGCTTTCTTTTCTATATTCTAGAACAAGATGAAAGATGCTGGTGCTTATTGTTGGCTTTTCTATTGACAAGTCCTAGAGTGTAAATATGACTACTTTTGTAATGTTCAGAGTTTTTTGGCCTGAATTTTGAATCTTTTCACTTTTTTTTTTTGTTTTTTTTTGAGACAGGGTCACACTATTAGTTGAGACTGACCTGGAACTCACTATGTAGCCCAGGCTGGTCTCCAACTCACAGTGATCCTCCTGCCTCAGCCTCCCAAATTCTGGGATTACAGGCATGTGCCACCACGCCCGGCCTTTTCACTTATTTTTATAACTATCTGATCTTTCTTTTTTGTCTTAAAGGCTGTTAATTAATAGACAGATGTTTATAATGATTTTTCACAGGAATCTGTCCTGTTCAGTTTTTTAATAAATATAAATGAGGGCTGATGATTTAGCTCAGTGGCGCCACAGCTGCCTCACAAGCATAAGGTCCTGGTACCATCACAAAAATATATAGATGAGATGAAGAGCATTGTTATAATTATACTTATAACTTTTTAGATAACAACCCCAAGGGACAAATGCATAAGTAAGATGACAGAGTCTAGAGTCAAAATGATAGCAGAATGATATAACAGGAATTCAGAGCTTTGAATGAGACGTCCTGAGTTTGAGTACTAACTGTGCAATTTCCCAGCTGTTTGAGCTTGCAGAAGTCAGTTTACTTCCTGAGATCCACTTTCCTAATCTGCAGAGTGGGGATAGCACTCACAGAGTCATTGGTGGACCTAGCAAGTCACAGATGTAACTGTGTCCCATGGGTCTATGCAAGTCTTAGCTGTTGTTACTATTGCCTGAATGTTGTCAGGTAGGAGCAGTAATCACAAGGCCATAAGATCAAACTAAACAAGGGTAGCTATAGGTGTAGGTTTGGGGGTAAGAGTAAGTTTGCAGCTCACAGAGCAGTTGCACAAGGAAGTCCTGGGGAAGGATGGTAGCTTTGGGAAAAATGGCTTTTGGTGTTTTTTTGTTACTGGGGATCGAACTCAGACCCTTGTACTTGCAAGGCAGGCAGCAGAACCACTGAGCCAACCCCTGGCTCTGGTGTTCTTATTCTACATTATTAGTCTCCAAAGAGATTTGGGGTGTGCTTTATCCTGGACTTGTACAATAAGCTGTAACTTCATTATGTTTTCAGGAACCACCTAAAAGACATTCCGGAGGCTGTCGCCGAGGGCCAACACGTGGCCTATTCTCACTGTGAGTTGGGGGGACCCTAGGTGGGCTATGTGTGGGGCTCCACATTGTGACTTTTTACCTTCATGACTGCTTAGGGCCTAGGTCATATCAAGACCCCAAGTTATTTCTTTTACCTAAGACACACTTAGGTCCTTCCCAGAGTTCCCAGAGACAGCAGGTGTTCCTAGGCTTCAGGGCTCCAACACATCTTAGGCCGGAGACAGAAATGGCAATGATTAAAGTAGCCTTGCTTTCATGTAAGTGAGGCTAAGTGCATGCTCAAAGTGCATTCTGGGCTTATCTCCCACCTGCGCACTGGCTGTTCTGGATTTTCCCCTGTTCTCAGTATTTGTGAATTTTGGCATTGGTCACCATGGCAGTGCCTTAGGGAGGCTGTGGCCTGGCACGTAAGAAGACTCTGCCTTTGTTGCCTGGCAGGCCACAGGGAGAGCTGGAGTGCTGCAGGGGATTCCGAAGGTACAGCTAATGTCCCCCGCAGTTCCCACCCTCAGCGAGTCCTCCTGGGGGTGGGAGTTTCCTAGAGCTGTAGTAGGAAACCAAGGCCAGCGACATCAGAGTAGCAGAACGAACCTGGCATCTGACGCACTCATTAATTTGCATTCTAGATTATTGCTAAGATTCCAGCTATGGAATTCTTCACATCCTCCCTCCCCAAACACGCTAGGAATGGCCAACTAGCCACACGGAGGAGCAGCTCTGGAAGAACACTTTTTAAAGTGACCTGGGGGCCGGGGAATTAGCTCAGTGGTTCCGCTGAGTTTGATCCTAGTACTGGAAAAAAAAAAGTGACCCAGAATAAAAATCCCCCCTTTTTAGATTAGGGCTGCACACAGAGACACAGCTTCTCCAAGCTCCTCTGCAGTCCTTCCGGCAGGCTTCTTGAGGCTTGGACATTATGTGTGGCGAAGGAAACGGTCCCAGGGCCTCTCGTCCGGTTTTGCCCATTGGATGCTCGGATCTTGATTTTCTTCATCAGTGTAGGAAAGTTTTAAATGTTCTGTTCTCCCTCTTGAAGTTTGATCATCTTAGTCTGTGAAATAAACTAATAGTACAGTAATACAAAACAAATGTACCTGTTTGTCAACGTGCATCAGCACAAGAGCCATACACGAACCATGAGACTCAGAGACAGCGCAGGTGATGGATGCTTAAAATAGCATTTTGAGAGGCAGGAAGAGTAGGGGCTCTAGGCTACCACTGCTGGGGGAGGTTGTGATGTGGATTACAGAAACACAAGGGAAGATACTAAGACAGAGGAGACCCATTATGCATGTGAAGTCACACAGGTAAGGCCCTTCAAAGACTGTGTGACGTCAGTGGTTGTGTGGAAATCTCCATAAAGGGAACTTCAGACAGCTTGTCTGCATGCAAATCTCCCCTGAGAAAGGAAAGCTTTTGAGCCACTCCTGTGTTGCAGCCTCTCTGAGTAGCCATCTCATAAAAAGCTAAGGAAATGTATGCTGGGGAATCCTTTTCTTTGGCCCTGGGGATTGAACTCAGGGAGCAACATCCCTAGTGTTTAAAGAAAAAAAATTTTTTTTTAAAAAGAATTTTGAGACAGAGTCTTGCTAAGTTGCTAAGTTGTCCAGGCTGGGCTGGAATTTGTGAACCTCCTGTCTCAGCCTCCCAGAGTGCTGGGCTTACAGGTGGGTACTACCGCACCTGGCTGTCCTTTTAGCTGTCCCTTACCCAGCAGGGATCACTTTGGTCCTATGTTTATACAGCAGTAGTAGGAAAACCAAGATGAGTAAGGGGTTTGTTGGGAATGAAAGGTCCTGCACTTAGTGACCTGAATTCTGTACAGTTCCTGTTTAAGCAATGGCAGCGGTTCTAACTCCAAGCTCCATTTCCACATGGCTGAGGTCCAGGGAACCATTCTGGAGCAGCCCTGGCCCTGTCGACTCCGTCTGTCACCTCCGCTGACATCCGGTGGAAGGCCATGCCTCCGCTTTATAAGTCTTCACGTGCATGTCTGCATTGCCTTTGCCCCAGACTTTCTCCAAGTAGTCTTCTGTTCAGGAGCTTCGCGAATTCCAATGAGATGTTTTGTAGGTTTCCAAAAATATTCTGCAGAATGCTTGCTGTCAAAATGCGTGAGGCCAGCTTCCTGTTTCTCTGTGGCCCCCAGAATCCTATTTGGGAGTTGGCGGTGGGCAGTGTCACCTGGTATTTCGGATCCCACGACTTGACTGGGCCTTTAGAGATCATCCTGAAACTGCCTTGTCCACTGGCACCCGGGATGGGGTGTTCCCTAATTGTTGGAAACCGGGAGACGGCACGTTTCACGAGATCACCGCAAAATACCAGAACTATGCCTGTGATTTTAGGGCAGAGAAAGAGGTAGAGACGGAAGGGCCTTCATTCCTTCTGTGTGACACAGTGGACAGCCCCTGCTGGCTGCGGCTCAGTGAGTTGCACATACATCTCAGGTCCCCTGAACTGACTTTTACATGAACGAAACCAGAAGCAACTGAGCTTTTGTATTTCTTTTTCTTGGTAACTTAGTTCTAACTTGGGACCTTGCGCTTGCGAGACAGGCCCGGCAGAGCCACTGAGCTAAATCCCCGGCCTCACGAGCTTTTGCATTTCTGTGAACTTTTGGCGTGGAGGCTGTATTTCGTGTCGCTATCTGTTCCAGTGTTCAGAAGAGGCTTCCCACTCTTTGCTAGGACCCACGTATTGCCCGTCTGCGGGTCGCTGCTCATGGGGAAGGAAATGGGCCGCAGGATGTTGGTGGTGGTGGTGTCATTTCTAAGCGGGAGGGTGTCAGCGTCGTTCGAAAGAAACAGCAGTGCAAGGTAAGTGTCCACCTGACTTCGGTGAGGAAGCCTTTCTGTTTTTCTCTGTCCATCCTAGTGGGAGGCTGGATCTTCTCCAACCCGGATGGTGTGTGCGCAGCGGGAAACAGCAGCTACCAGTACGCAGCTCCTCTGCCCCTGCCTGCGCCCCACACCCACCTCGGCTGCGAGCACTACTCAGGCCTCCGAGGACACCGGCAGGTGCCCTACCCCTCTGCCTATGTGCACAGGAGCCATTCTCCCTCAGGTGTGCAGCTCTGCTAATGAAACCCGTGGGATGGGCTGGGGTTGGGAGCTGGGGAGAAAAAAACAGCCAGTGAAAAGCGGTATCTGGAGATAGGACCCTTTTCATCTACCGTCCACGCATGACAGTGTATGTTACCATTTTGTTTTATTTGTGATTTTACGTATCGCTGTTTGAAGGTCTACTTGTAATAGTTTCGGTGTTTTGTGGTGATTTGGTGAAACATGCAGCATCCCGGTTTCTAAAGGTTAGGGAACGGCCCTTCCCTGTGCCGGTGGACAAGTCACAGGGTCTGAAATACTCACTGCTTTCACAGAGCTGCTTCCTACTCTTGTTCATGGCTGGATCCAGGGTTGGAGGACTCTTGGGAAGGTCTTGGGAGCTACATCGTTGTATGTTTAAGTCTTAGTTTGATTTGGTGGGAGTAGCCCAGCCTTGTAACTCCTGCACTGTGGTTTTTTGTTTGCTCTCTTTACATTAATGCCATTATTTACATGCTTTGTTTCTCAGTTCCTGCTGGCTTGTCTTCCTTGGTCTTGTGATGCTCAGACCTTGCTTATCAGATTTGTTAAGACAAAAAGAAAAAGAAAAAGAAAAAGAAAGAAAGACTAGTGGTATAGGAGGTATAGCTCAGTGGTATAGCACTTGCCTGTTATACTTGAAGCCCTGGGTTCAGTCTCAGAAATGCGGGGAGAGAGAGAGAGAGGGAAAGAGGGAGAAGGAAAGAGGGAGAGGGACGGAGAGAGAGAGAAGAAGACAAAGAAGAAGAAGAAGAAGAGGAAGAAGAGAGAATATTACTGAGGACCAGGATCTGTTAGAGCTACATGGACGAAGTGATCAAATACCCTAAAATGTAGACCCTGTCCTAATATGGAGAGATTAATCCTAAAGAAAACAAAAGTAAAAAGTTCATGGCATGGGATTTGGTGGGGGTTGTTTAGATTCCAGCCTCCTTCCTCCCTCTGTGACACCGCTAACTCCACATTTGCTCAGGGCTCCTGGACACCTGTTCTTGCGCTCCTCAGCTGGCGGCTTCTGGTAGCCTCAACAGCTGCCCCAGGACGGGAGGACGTGTGGACCTGAGGCAGGCCACTCAGCGGCACCTCACTCTCCTTCCTGCTCTTTTCCATGGTCAGCGTGCATCTGTCCTGCACACCTGTGTAGAGAGGAGATTGAGATGTATGAGGGGTGATTGGAAAGTACAGTGTGGGTTTAAAGGGAAAAGCAGTGGATTACAGGGAGAGACACGTTGCCATGAATCCCTGTTACAATACTCCCTCACTTCAAACACACTCTTCCCACCATTTCTGCCCTTTCTGAAGCAGTTCTGGAAGTCCTCTTTCAGGAGTGTCTTTAGTGGTGTTGTCCTGACTGCAATATTGCAATGTCCTGAATCGATTCAGAACAGTTCCCTCTCATGGTCATTTTGACTTTGGGGAAGAGCCAGAAGTCACACGGTGCCAGATCTGTGAATAAAGTGGACGAAGACACGCAGTGATGTTCTTACAAGACAGCCTTTCTGTTGGATGGCACTCAGTGGCAGCAGTCACTGTATTTTTCGATTACCCCTTGTGGTTTGTTCCCAGGAGGGTCTTGGGGCTACACAAATACATGTATAATTAATCGTCTTGTAGTGCGGTGAGTTCTCTGATGTGGCCTGCGGACCTGCAGCACCACCTGGGAACTTGTTAGAGCTATCGACTCTCAGGCTTTACTCTGGTCCACAGTCTGCACGTTAATGAGATCCCCGAGTGACTCACGCACATGAAGGTTGGGAAATCATCACGATCACACGCAAGCCAGGGTGCTGTGAGGATGAAAAAGAGCAATTAGATCTGCCTGGTGGGTCAGAGAAGGCCGCCCTGAGGGTCAGTATCTAGGTTGAGCCTGGAAGGACGATAGGGACGGGCAGGAAGAAATGGGCAGGAGAGGCGGACGGACAGCGCATGTCCCAGTGAAGGGAGCAGGGACACAGAGGATGGAGGAGCCCGGGAGCAGAGTGTAGAGGAGGCCGGCAGCTGGAAGACGCGGGAGCTGTGGCTGGGGAGGCGCAGGAAGGTGTGACCTGGCCTCTCTGCTCGCTTTGTGCCCCTGTAACAGAGCGCTGGGGATGCAGTCATCCGTTTCATCCCGGTTCTGGGGGTGAGGAAGGTCCAAGACCGAGGGACTGGCCTTTGGTCAGGCTCTCCTTGCTGTGTTGTAAGACGGCAGAAGGCATCTTGTGGATGGCAGAGGGGGAGGGGGCTGAATTCATCCTTTTGTGAGAAATCCACTCCTGTGCCCACACCCTCAAAAATGTCATTAACCCACCACCGGGCTCTGAAGAGTCCCCTCTCAGCACTGTCCCTGGGGATTAGGTTTCCAGCACATGAACTGCAGGGTTGCATTCTAATCCAGCACCTGGGGTGTACCTGGGACTGTCCTCCTTGCTCTCCCTTCCCTTTTTTCCTTTTCTTTTCTTTCTTCTATTTATATGCACTCTCTATGCAAATGAAGGTTCATAGAAATAGAAGATGCTATCCCTTTCCTTCCATTTATGTGTACAACATGATCTATGTATCTATCATCTATTTATGTATCAAAATTACTACTACAGCAAGCATATCCATCTTCTCATATGATTATCTTTTCCTTTTAGGTGAGAGCACTTGAAAACCCACTTCCATAGGACAACTTCATTCAGCAGCACAATATGGCTAACTATATTCCTCATGCTGTTTGCTACATCTAGACTTATTCATCCTGCAGAACTGCGTCTTTGTGTCTTTTGACCCAAGCCCCCCACCAGCCCACCCTCCACTGTTCCACTTTCTGCTTCTATGAACTCAGCTCCTAGATCCCAATACAAGCGAGGTTCTGTGGTCTCATCCTTCCTGTGAGAAGATGCCATTCTGGAGGTGTTTAGATCCACTTGGGGGTCGTTGGGGGAATGGAGTCCTGGACTGCAGGACTCTCAGCTGGACACTGGTGGCCCTTAAGCCCAGCTTGAGGGGCCACTGTTGCAGTCCATTCTCACAGGGGCAAGAAGATGGGATGGGACTGAGACAGATGGGTCACAGGGAGCGAGCATCCTCCTTGCCTGAGTCTCGTGTGAGCTGGAGGTGGGAAGTTGTGAAGACCGTTAACTGCCAGCTCTGCCTGGCATGTGGGTGGCATCAACAAGCCTAAGTTCCTTCCTCTTTCCTGTTTCCCTCCCAAAGAGCTAACAAACTGTTGGTTATAGACCAGCCATGGTTATATTTTGCCCTTGGATAATGATTGTTGGTCGCTGCCTTTAAGGGTTTTGTATGTCCTGTCCATTGAACTGTTGTTATTTTTCCTAAAGTGAACTTGATAGAAAGTTCAAGCAACAACCTGCAAGTGTTCTCAGGACCCGACAGCTGGAATTCTTTGTCCTCCACTCCTCACGCCAGCATCCTGTCTGTGCCCCACACCAGTGGACCAATCAATCCAGGGCCCAGGTGAGACCAACACCGTCGACCCGCTCACAGGTGGTTCTGAAGGTTGCCTGTAGTTCCAGGCACTCAAGCGCATTCTTTTCCTAGGATGGCTCAGTCTAAAAGGTCACCTGTTGGGCACCTGGCTCACAGCCTCGGCCATAGGGCTGAGTGTAGCACGTAGGATCCAGGGCATCATTCTCACACCAGAGACCTGCATTTAGCACTGACTGCCTGGAATCACAGCACCAGCATGGTGGAGAGGAGAGAGGAGGCCCTTTGGAGCTTGACAGGTGGGAGCTGGAGTCCCAGTTCCACCTCGTATTGACTTTGTATCTTTGGACAATCTTCTTAGCTTTACTGAGCTCCAGCTTTCTTATCTGTAACCCAGAAATAGTATGGTGAGAAGATGCTTTGTGAGCAGTCATTGCCGTGGGAATGTCAGCTGTTATGTTCAATATGCACGTGCAGAATTCTGAGAAGGTCCAAAAGGGATTCACAGTTTAAAGATGGCACCCAAAGAGACATTAGATGATGATGTGATTTGTAGGTCTAGAGAAAGTAGGAGAATGTGATGGCTTTTGGTTGACAGTGGTGCTTTTGTACTCTAATGTGTACCAGAAGCTGGCCGTAGTCTGGGCTAGGGCCTGAGCCACTGCATTTCTAGCAGGACTTCAAGTGTTGCCGATGCTGCCAGCTCACAGCGGTCTAGAACTGAGCTGTCTATGGTGGCGGAAGCAGCCACTGCCCTCCCGAAGATCTAAAGTGCAGTTTAACCAAACTGCGAGGCGTGGGGCTACAACACAAACAGGATTCGTAGGACGGTGTGAAACAATGAATAAAAGCGTCAGTTCTCATGACCGACAGTGCCTATGGAAACGATAATATTTTGAATAGTTTCAGTCGCTCAGAATATTATCAGGTTCATTTCTTTCCTTTTTCTAAATGCGGCTACAAGGAATTGTAAGCCCGCATACATGGCCGGCCCTCGTGCCTCACATCCTGTTTCTGGTGGGCAGTCCTGGCCTGTGGGACTTGAGGGAGGAACAGCAATTTGTCTGTGGTCGGAAGTGGGAAAGAGGGCGAGCGGGGGGACCCTGAGGCTGGGGAACAGACTCGCGTCAGGCGCAAGTCACACAGTAGGTTAAGGAGGAGCTCACGTCTCTCCCGCCAGCCTGGAGGCATGCAGAGGTCTCTAGGGGACACGGTCCGAGAGTCTCCTCTGGAGGGCATCTTACGGTTTAGCATGCAGCAAGAGGGCGGCTCAGGGAGCCAAGAGGAGGGATCCCCACAGGTTCCCATGGTCCCGGAAACTGCATAGCTCGCGCTGTGTCGCACACGGAACAGGGTGGCCTTGCTAACTGGTTTCCCTTGTTGGCGCGTTTCACCCATTAAGAGCTTCATGAAAGGAAAACAAGTGTGTGCTGTGCTGCCGCTGGACAGGGACGCAGTTACCCTGCAGTGTGGCCCCAGGCAGAGAAGAAGCTAAGAAGTCAGATCACAGTGACCAGCGAAGCTTCCAACACTGGCGGCTATTCTGTTCCGGCCAGAGTCAGTGGATACAGGTTCTGCATTGACGTGCACACTTCACCACACATAACATCCGCTGGGAAGCTTGAAAAGCTTTAAAACATGCAGCCGGGCTGCATGACAGACCAGTTAAACCACAAGGGATGTGACCCAGGCTTCTGCTATTATTTTTAAACACAAGGGTCCCAGTGTGTCACCAAGTTTGGGAATCAGTGCGACAGAAACGGAGAAGGAGGAGAAAGTGGTCCAGCTTCTATGGCAGGGACCTGAGCTGACAGGTGGAGATCAGGGATGCGAGAATTAATTACAGCCCTTCCTGAGTGCCACCTGCAGGGAACTGTGGACTTGCCCTCTTATCTCCCCTTCACAGCAGTCTCCACGGTCTGTAAAATATCACACCAGACCTTGAAGAAGCGGACTCAGATACGAACTGACTTGACCAAGGTCACAGAAGGAGTAAGGGGTAGAGATGGTTAGAGATAGGGAGAGAGACTGTGCAGACCTAGGACTTCTGATACCAAAGTCCCAGTTCTTACACCTGTGTGGGCCCGGGAGACACCAAGCTCCCAGATCACATGGGTCAAGTATCTTCCTTTCACTGCCGCATATTTTATTTTTATTTTTGGTACGGAGGATTGACCTTGTGCTTGCGAGGCAGGCGGCAGAACCACTGAGCCAAATTCCCGGCCCCTGCCTCGTACTCTGGGCTGCAGGGGAGATGTTCCAGAGAAGTGAAATGTTGTGTTTCAAATCCATCCCCGGAATCCAGGTCACAGGACGGGTAATTTTACTCTCTCCTGCCGTCCCTAGCTGCTTCTCTCTGCTTTTCTGCAGGAACAGGGCCTGTCTGGGCACTGCTTTCTTAAAGCATCACCAGCCCCACCCTCCTGTGTCTTGCAGCCCCTACCCGTGCTTGTGGACCATCAGCAACGGAGGCGGAGGTCCTGCAGCCTCGGCCGCGGAGGCCCATGCCGGCGGCGCTGGGGCGTTTCTGCTCGGAAACCCAGCGGTGACTTCGCTCTGCTTTTCTGCAGGAACAGGGCCTGTCTGGGCACTGCTTTCTTAAAGCATCACCAGCCCCACCCTCCTGTGTCTTGCAGCCCCTACCCGTGCTTGTGGACCATCAGCAACGGAGGCGGAGGTCCTGCAGCCTCGGCCGCGGAGGCCCATGCCGGCGGCGCTGGGGCGTTTCTGCTCGGAAACCCAGCGGTGACTTCGCGCCCC